TTTATCTCGAAAACAGATAGAGATAGGTATAGGACATTATCAACAAAAAAGTATTAAAATACTGGAGCGATTCCAAAAATGTATTAATATACGGGGTGTTCCATTTAAAAAAATATAATTGCTAGGACTTTTTGATAGAAGTGGCAACACCGCAATGCTGAAAATATTTTAGATCGATAGAACAGGTAAGGAAATTTTCAGAAAAATCATGCTTTGCGTTTTCCAGAAACGTCTAACCTACCATTGACCATGAGTCACGCTGTATTTTAGTTTTCTTCTCCCGAAATGCAATCACCCCTTAATCGACCGAAGATAATTTTTCAGTTGTGACAGCTCTAGCTGGTGTTGAATCATGAATCATTTGTTTTTGGGCACTGATTTCATACTGTTGCAGCGGAAAACAGAAAGTGCTTCATCATTCACCTATCGATGTCGAATCGTGATTGATTTTTCTGTCGGTGACATTTTCGTGCTTACTTATATCCTGAACGTAGGCAATCAGACTTTTCATGGGTCAGAAAACCTGTCCAAATTTGAAGAAAAACTATACAGTGACTCAATGGAGTACCATCAACTCAATTGGATGAAAGCATTCGTCTCAACTTTCTTAAGATTAATAGTAAATTACCCACCTGTCTGATATTATACCTCCTATGAAAAGGCCGCACAATTGTCCAAAACTGTTCAATGTTCCAACCATAGTCAATTTCCACAAATTGTCATCACACTGCAAGTTGTACTGAAAAGAAGAATATAATTATGATTGGATGCATTAATATGGGAAATCTGCCAGAAAACGTTCCACTTTGCCAAATAGTGTTCTGTTATTTGAAATGATAGGGTTATATATAAGTCAATATATTTCTCAGTTGTCAGGTTTTTCAATCAAAAATAGACATATCTTCAATGCGATTGAGAAAGAAATACATGAATGCGATTAGACAAGTTAGAGATATTCAAATTGATGTAAATTTTTCCCTTAAAAAAAGTCGGGCCGCCGCTGGTCATCGTGAATCAATTGTGACCTGGCCAAGATCGCGCTCGACTCGACTTGCGCTTCGCGATTGTTCTAGTCACTTCGATAGACTTCTAGCGAATTACCTATCGGCTTCGAGAGACTTCGATTACCATATGTAAACACTAGCAACACGCATTTAGGGAAGTTTAGTTGACAGTGATCCAATAAGGCGATAGACGGTTGAAGTTTCACTTGAAGTGTTTGTGTTATATTGTCAGTGTAGCAATGAAATAAAGTTGAGTTCAATTATACAGTGTAGTCAATTATCATCAGGGTGAAAACGTAACAGGATCATTACTGAAACATTGAAATGGGTTATGTTCTCAAAATCTTTGTTGGATTTGACCCGCGGGCCGTAGTTTGGAGACCCCTGCTCTAGAAGGATACACGCCATCAGTTCTAAATGCAAGAAGCTGCAGAAAACGCCTTTGCACATTTTCCAAGTTTTCCTTATGTACATTATAAAGAGGATACCAAATCAAAGTAGCACACTCTAACTTGGAGCGAACGAGAGATGTATAAAGTATGGTTAAGGCGGTAATATTGGTGAATGATTTACAGTTGCGCAGAACAAAGCCAATCATTTTTTTAGCCGATGCCGCGATAGTGTTGTTGTGGCCAACAAATGTCAACCTGCTGTCTAACGTCACACCTAGATCTTTGACAGCTTCTTCGCGGAGTATTTCATCTTTGAAAGTATAAAAATACTCAATAATATTGGCATTACGTGTAAAGGAGCAAACTTTGCACTTTTAAACATTCATTGCCAATTCATTGATTCGACACCAGTTATCTATCAGGTCTAATCGAGATTGGAGATAAGAGCAGCTCACTAAATTTGTGATAGATAAAAAGATCTTCAAATCGTCTGCAAAAAGTAAGTTGCCACATGAAAACTCGCAGGTGAGATCATTAATGAAGATGAGGAAAAGCAGGGGTCCCAGATTGGAGCCTTGTGGCACACCGGATGGTGATAAATATGGTGCAGACGCAAATCCACTATAAAAAACAACATTGGTTCTCTGATCCAAATAAGAGTTGAGTTAGTGAGAGATTTGAACCCATTTGAGCTATTTTCTCTAGTAATATGGAGTGACTAATTCTGTTGAATAATAGTCTAATATACAGAGTAACGATAACATGTATTTTATTCTGGCAAAAGTTGGTGAAAAGTAACTTTTCAATCACCAATGATGTTACCATTTGACTCGGTATGCATTATTCAAAGCCAAATACAACTACTATAACTATTGTTGAAGTAGGAGTTTGAGAAAGTGAAAAAGTAAAATGAAAATTAGAAATCACATAAGAACTAATACAATGCGTTATAGATGTTTGAAAGCCTGCAAAAAAATTTTGAAATCATTATTTCATCATCACTGAAAATAACCGTGAAAATCAATTGAGAATTGTTCGTTAAAGGACATCATCAACTATAGCTTCGTTTACTTGCTATGATTTCGTGTCAGAAATTACCATTTTTATCTTGTTCCAGTTACTTTTCATTCCTGCTTATTCGACGAATGGAATGGAGTAATGGTTGAATGCAAAATTGAAGATTATTGGTCGGAAAGTTTGACAAAATGTTTAATAGTGTCAGTATTATGCTTGAAGCTCCTTTGATGTATCACTGGTTATTTCATCTTTTTCGGTTGGAGGCCAAAACTGTCAGTTATATAATCAAATACGAAAAATATTACTACTGATTGTTGAAGATGTTCACCTGTTGAATCATAGCATTCTTTGATAACTAACAACAAATAACATAATCATAAATAAACAATGTAGGAAATACCTAATGGTTGTTTACCGTTCTTTGATTGAATAATTGTTTCTAAATATAAATTTCTAACTACACGATTTTTTTTAGATTCAGCTAAGGTCTTTGACACGGTGGATCACAATATACTTCTTCAGCGTTTACATGATTCGGGTATAAGAGGAATAGCGTTAAACATCTTTGAGGATTATTTGTCTCTAATAGGATTCAGAGAGTCAAAATAAATGATTCAATTAGTGAACCTCTATAAATAACCAGGGGCGTATCTCAAGGAACGGTGTTTGGCCCTATCTTATTTCTAATATACATAAATATTTTTTCAGTGAGGGACTTCGAAGATAATATAACTTCTTTTTCGGATGATACAGCAATAACTTTTGTCGGGAACACATGGGAAGAAGCTCACAGAAAGGCGGAGGTAGGTATAAATAAATTTTCCACTGGCTAAGTAATAATTTATTGAGTGTCAAACTCAAACTTACTTGCCAAAACGATAGACTCTCCTGCACTTGTCCTTGCATAGAAAAAACTGATTCAATAAAATACTTAGGGGTCCTAGTGGATCAGTGCCTTCGTTGAAATGATCATATTGACTATACGGTGAAAAAATTACGTAAGTTCACTTACAAATTTTATCAACTCAGAAGTATAGTCAGTAAAAAAATGTTGCTTACTGTATATGATGCCATGGCCGAGTCCATTTTACGGTATTGTCTAATAATATGGGGAGGAATATTCAAATATTCCTGACGTAATTTAGAAATGATCCAAAAGTCACTCATGAAAATTATGTTCAGAAAGAACAAATGCTATAATACTCAAGCATTGTATGAAGAGAGTGGAATATATACTGTAAGAAAACTGAATACTTTCCGTTGTATATTATGGACAGCCAGTGTTACGAGTACATATGTTCAGAATATGAATAATACTCGTTTACACACTCATCAGATTGCAAAGGTTCCACGATGCCGACCCACCAACAATCAAAAATTTATTACATACATTGGACCAAAACTCTACAATTATTTACCGCCGTCACTAAAATGTATCAGAAGTTGTACTAAATTGAAAATAGAATTGAAAACATTTATCAATCACAACTACTACAGATTTGAAACAATACTGGATAGTTGACTAATGCACCATACTTGCAATCACTCAATACAATGTAACAAGCTGTTGTTTCTGTATCTTTTTTCGTATTTGATGCTCTTGTTATGTTAAAAGACTGCTCATCATTTTGGTACTTTATAGAATTACACATTAGCTCCGCTGTCATATCCATTTCTAATTTAATACCGGAAAATTGAATGAAATTGATAATATAAATCAACTAAATAATAACAGACCTATGTGACTCCTAGTCACTACCAGTTCTAAGACAAGAAAACATAAAATTATAATCCTATTTTAAAGATAAGATAAGAAAGTAAATGACCCTTGCCACAAAAAAAAACAGAATAAAGCAAACATTTCTTCACATCGCTTATTTACTAAGATTTACTAGCCTAGGATATTGTTCTACCACTTCGATAACTTACAGGTCTTTATCTAATTTTATGATATTTATTTCACTATTTTCATTCTTGACCAGGATTCTGTAGTTTGAAGTCCATACTTGGCGTTTCCCATACTTAAGTCCTGCTGCTTTAAACAGTTTATACTGCTTAACATTAAGGTCCTCATTAACAAAAATCCCTGTCTTTGCAAGCGATTTTTTGGTTTTGTAAATCTCGCTTTTCTTCAGGTATGTAGTGAAATTAACAATAACTGGTCTAGGTTTAGTGTTGGTATTATACTTTCCGATTCTGTATACATCATATATATCAATCTCTTCACATTTTATTTTCATTTTATTTTGGATTAATTGCATTATACTATCCAATATATTTTCTTCTTCCATTTCAGGTATACCTTCGAGTCCTTATGTACTTCTTTTTTGCCTTAAAATCAATACTTCAGTTTTACTGCTTATTTCACACATTTTGTTGTCATGTTCTTTCATTTTCACTTCTATTTTCTTAAAGTTTTCTTCAATTTCATTCAACTTTGACTCAAGCTTCTCAAATTTATCTACCAATATTTTTTAAAATCTGGCGAACAGTTTTCGTTGATTTTGTTGATAGTACTTTCCAACTGTATTTGATCCATTGCAAATGGTTCATTTGTTTTTGTATTTCTCGTTGATCTATTGGACATTACTTATGGATCTTCAGCTCATCTTTAATTTAAACTTCAACGATGCTTATAGATACAGTTCTTCACCTAACAGTTAAATTTTACGGAGCCTAATGAATACGTGTGCTCACTCTAGCGACATCGTACGGGATGTCGAGATGGGCGTTCGAGTGGTTTCATCACCGGCAGTGGCGTGCATTTGTTTATTCAATAAAAAAAATTGTTGAAAGTATAGTCTATCCATTCCAAATTGGAACGGAAATAAAAATAAGAGTACAGCCATAAACATTTCTTGCCTGTGGCCC